GACGCTGGCAGACGCTATATCGAAATCTATGCTTTCCTGGTCGCTGACGCTGCCGGATGCTCCGACCGCTGATGGACTCTATTAGTCGCTGGTGGACGCTGCCGTAAAGTATGAACGCAGCCTAAGTAATCCTCATCGCTTTTAATGGGGAATGAGCTCACTTACTGGTATGGTTGACTAGAATCGCATTTACTGCTTTCAGATCATCCTGAAAGTGTTGGCGTTCACATTTGCTGGGTTCTGGCAATCTCGTCGCAACAGGATCGATCTGCTCATAACCGTATTCGGCTTGTTCTGGATTTTTCTGCACTTTTTTGTTGCTCTCCCTTCCAGCTCCTTTGATCCAGCACCTCAGAAACAACTGAAAACCTTCACTTACACTTTTGGGTACATCATTGTGATTCTACGGTTCTTTACGATTGCGAGTGAGTTCGAGTACCGAGGCGGATTATGCAAGGTGAACACACATTCAGTGAATTTAGAACTCATTGACCGACTTCCAGGTCGAAATTCAACTTTGAAAATGCTGATGCTCACTGTTGTGATGGGTACGTTCCGATCATTCTTCATCATCACAGCGATGTTCCTCCTAGTCCTTTTCTATGCGTATACGGGTGTCATACTCTTTGGAATGGTGAAGTACGGCCAAGCCGTCAGCAAGTACGTGATCTTTCATCCTCTACTTTTTTCGTGAGCTATTCATCGCGGTTGGGTAGTACAACCATTGTAACAGTACAAGGGTCGTACTTTGTAGAGAGAACCTTTCTAATTGTCGAAAACAGCACAAGTGTCTGCAGAAGTCTCCGCGTTCTATTTTACCTGTTTCAGCAAAGGGGGTCCCCCATTGATGTGAGCAGGACTTTCTAGTCAAGGACTGGAGGGTTATATAGTACACATGAAATAGGAACAACTACGGTCAACATTTCTGAGACGGTACGACTCCCCCCCCCCTCCCGACAGTGGACAACTACAGCCCCCTCCCACTTTTTTACATCGTTCCCTGAACAAGAATAACCATCAGAATAAAACTTCGTTGGCAGGCCCAACAACCGCGCTCCAATGACGTTTTTCCAATGAAAGCGGTCGCAACGTTGCGATCGATAATAGCCAAGTATAGAA